ACCCAAGAGATAGTGGATAAAGTATTGGTTGTATACACAATGGGGTTTTAGTCAGTCATAGAGGATGAAGTCTTGTCATTTGTAGAGAAATGGGTGAAACTGTGGATAATAATGTTTAATAAGAAAAGAAAAGACAATCACCTTGTTTCCTCTTGCATGCAGAATCTAGACTTCACATACACACACGCACACACACACACACACACAAACACACACACACATCACGAAGGGAGAAGGGACTATGTGGAGGAAGGAAAGAGACTAAAGAAGTGGGGAAAGAGGACAGAATACTGAGCATGAGGAAAGTACAAGGAAAGCCATCTATGAACAGGTCACAATGAGGCCCACTTTATACACCAACTGGAAATTTAGTTTGAAAAGATTAGAGAAACGCAAAAACTGGGGCAGTAGTAGGGGGAGGGTGCTTCTATTGGGTAAGCCTGTAGACCAGCCTTTCAGAAAACCAAGCCAAAACTCACTTTCAAAGTCTCTCTTCCACCTCCTTGAGCAAAACACACGATGGGGATCTTACCACCATAGTTGGAATCTGTAAAAGAAGAACAAAGAGTCTGTTTGGGACTTCAGCTTGAGGGCTGGGTGTGGCAGGAAGTGGGTTGTGGCAGGAAGTGGGAGCATATTGGGTTCCCGACCACTCAGACCCAAATAACCACACAGAAACTGTATTAATTACAACACTGTTTGGCCAATGGCTCAGGTGTATTCCTAGCTAGCTCTTACATCTTAAATTAACCCATTTCTATTAATCTATGTATCACCATAAGGTTGTGGCCTACCGGTAGATTCTGGCATCTTTCTCCTTTGGCAGCTACATGGTGTTTCCTTGACTCTGCCTACTCTCTCTCTATCTCTGTTTAAATTTCCTGCCTGACTTTACTCTGCTAAGACATTGGCCAAAATAACTTCATTCATCGATGAATAAAGCAACACTTATACAGAAGGACGTCCCATGTCAGAGGAGCATCGGCTCTGAGAGCTCATGGCCTGGGCAATAACTGCTTGGATTTGACCTTGGCCCTGAAATGATCCATCACAATGAAGGAATCTCTGTGCATCAGACCATCAACAGTGTGGCATGGGTAATACTGTCATATGTCACTGCTTTTCAAAATGCTAGAGCTGTCGCTTCATTCACATTTGTGGATTTGATTAGACTGGGCTGAAGTTTATTCCTATTCTCTCCCTCATTTGTATAATCCCATGCTTTCCTGAGTAGGTGACAAATTTGCATAATGAGGCATTTTCTCAATGGAGTTTAGTGAGTCTATAAATAACTTCCTAAGCTGTGTCTTCATTGAAGCAGAAACAACTGAGACTGTGTCCTGTGAGGCAGTCTGTCACTAAACCACAGGACAACCTTGCTCCCAAGCAGGATGCCTCTCAGCACCCTGTCCACAGGAAAAGAAGACACACACAGCTTATCAGATAAGGTTTTGCACTCAGTTTCTGCAAAACTAGTGTTTTAGGTGATTCTATTCTGGTAATCCAAAGAAGGAGCCAAAGTTAAAATATTAAATAGCCTTCCAGTTGTGACAATCTTAACATCTCTGTCCTACTACTGAGTCTCAAGCCCAGGTCAAATGGCTGAGTTGCCTATTTAATATATCAATGCTGACACTGGCTGGCAGGTTCTCCCAGCATCCCTCAGGCCCTACCTGTTACAGGGTATGACTGGCATATCCATCCCTCTACCCTGAACTCTCTAGCGCAGGAACTGGGCTGCCCTTCTCCCAGAGGCTCTTCCCTATATAATGCAGTCATTGTGGTTACCTGTCCTTTTGTTCCTCTACCCTCATGGCTGCTACACTTCCTTCTTCTCTTTCCCTCTCTCCCTTCCCACTCCCCTTCTCTCCACATGGCCAAGCTCTGTCTGGTTATGTCTACTCTGGACTCTCCCAGATGTCTCTGCCTCTGGGCTATGTTCTCCTGCATATCTATAATAAACTTTGTCCTCCACCATTCCTAGGAACTGTCATGTCCTTTTTATTTCCTTTTATTCTTTTTCTTATTCATCTACCATGGAGGCCAAAAAATGCAGGCCCGTTTCCACCTTGTCTGACAGTCAGAGAGTTTGGAGATTTGATAGGCATAGTGACATATCCTAATTCAGAAGAAGATTGCTTGGTTCTTTTGAGATTAAGTTTCATTCTAGTAAGTCCATGCCATCCTGACAGGTGGTCAGGATATGCAAATGTACTTCTGCTCCTTTTTTAATAAGCATGGGTGAATTTCAGGATTTCAGTCCCTGGTATGCCCTCCCAATACTTTCTATGGTTTCTGTTCTGTTATCTTTTATGCGTCTTCATATTCTTTACTTAAATTTCTCCAATTCCCACACCCCTACCCTGGTAAGAAGTATTTTTGTCGAGGCCGGTCCTCAACAATCTACCTAACTGCATTGCTTCTTAAATACGTATTTTTCCATTAGGGGCTTCACTTTTTACAAATGCCTATAGGGAAAAAAAAGCCAGCAGGCTTCCTAAATGAATAAGCAAGAGTATAAGAAGGCAAAGAAGGCATCTGTCACTGCCTTCAGCACGCTGAAGGACATGTCAATGACCCCTGTAGAGACACTCCTGGGATACTGAAGAAAGAGGAGAAATACAAACTCCTCTTTAGCAGCGAAGACAGAGGATCAAGAGGGCTAGCCATGCAGCACCAGCTGCAACCACAACAGCCATGCATGCATAGCTGGCCTCCAACTGTCACCATGAACGCTGGCCACCCAGTTCCTAACGGCTGACCTTGACTGGTCCTCTCGGAGATGTACTTCTCCAGCTGATTTCGCAGCTTGGCTTCCACTGTGGGGTGTCCATGACATCCGTTGTCCACTAGCAGCAAGTGGGTGTGATTGTTGTCGAGGATGTAAAGAGGGTCTCTCTTGAAGTCATCCATGATGTACTGAGCAGAGAAATATCCCTGGAAAGCACAAGGACACTTGTCTTCGGGATGCAGGGTGGCATCATGATGACCCTACTGAAGCGAGAGAACTTGTGTTGGCTGCATGTGACCTCTTGTGACTGTACTGACAAAGAGCACCAAAATTGCAGTAGAAAAAGTATGGTCACACACAGCCTAGGGTAGACTGTAAACCAAGAACGAGAGAGAAATTTGCTATCTTGTGCATACGTACATAATGTTCTCATGACTCAAAAGTAGAATACAGATCAAACACTTAAAAAAATAAAAGATGATGAAAACTAAGAAAATTCTCTGAAACAGATCTAAAATGAGGGATGGCATAAGTTTTTCAAACAGTGGCCTTGTTTCAGGTTGGCTGAGCCTCCGTCCTGTACCACCCATAACAGTGAGCGCTACAATGAGCCCCGTGAGCCTGTGTCAGAAGATGTGGCCAATGAGATTGTTATCAACGTTTTGTTTTATACAAAAGACCAAACACTGTCGCCCAGGAAAATATTAGAGAAACCAGGAAGCCAAGTGCAATATCATAAGAGTTTGCTGCAAAATCATGCTGTCATGGAAGACTGTCATCAGAAGTAAAAAAGGGATAAAAACTAGCAGTATAATTTAAGCCTCTAGAAAACTATGTTTTCTACAGAAATGAAGACTGTAGCATATAAATGAAAATGTAAATTATACTTAATTCTAAGAGGCGTGGGTTGTTGTCATCAAGATTTTATGTGCATTTAGTTATTATCTGTGCACTTCATAATTTCACACTGGTAAGCATTTCCATACTGTCAAAACATCCTCAGAAGGAGTATTTTCCTACCTCCGTGGTTATTCTTCATTTTTCTGTGGTGATCTGTCTGGGCTTCCCTCTTTAATGATAAATATTACTAGATTATAATGTCTAATAATAAACACCGAGTCCCAAGTGTTGCTGGATATTTAGATTTATGCCAATTCTTGGGCATTACAAAATGCTTTAATGAAATCTTTGCCCTAATATTAAATTCTCTAGGATGAATTTATTAATGTAACTGTTGGCACTTTCCAAAAACAGTTTTCATACTCCTGACATAGCTCTGTGGAGACCACAGATTTGACTTTTAGGTTCCTGTACCCCTTATTAGTCTCTAGAATGGCTACAGAGACAAGAAAGTGAACGATGTTTTTTTTTTTTTAAGAAAAACTAAGCCCTTAACATTTACCATCTAAATGCCTAGTGAGCCACAGATGGAATAAGATTGCATTAAATATAGATTTCTGAATATTTAGCCCAAATCTCCTGAGTAGGACTTGGGTAGCTTCTCACTGTTTCCAAAACATCACACCTGACACATATATCAGTAGATATCATATATCTATAGTGCATTCTGGACATAATTTGAGGGAGGTCTGCTACTTTCTAAATCAGTTCTCTGGAAACATTTGGTGGTGTGGGTCTCAGCCTTCTCCACACTGGGTTAAGGTTGGAGAACAATAATAAATCTGAATTCCTAAGAATCCGGCATAGTAGTGCAGGATTATACCCACAGGTGAACTCTTTTGAGATGGATTTGGATCGTAAATCATAAAAACAGTGCACCCAGATCTAACAAGAGCTTTCTGGGGACAGATTTTAATGGCAAAATGCCTCCACTATTAGTTCCTGCTTCAGAATTCCTTAAGAATACCCCCTCCCCCTTGTCTTTAATGGCCGTAGTCTATAGGTTGTTCTCATAAGACAGGCTTTCCCACCATCTGGCTCCACTACAGAGCCCCAGCATTCAGGTCATAGCCATTGCCCTGGTCTTTCTCCCACAGAACCTCACAGGCCTCCCTGCCCCACAGATACCTCATCATCGCAGTTCCGGATGAGGGTGTCCCTGTTGGAGACCATGCCCCATGCCGCGATGCCAATGGCCACAATGTTCTCTTCTGAATTCCTGCTGATGGTGTTATCTCTCACCACTTCACCTATGTACTTCATCAGACCGTAGTGAGTGCCTCCCGTGAGAATCCAAGCACCTGTGGATGAGGGAAGGGGAACAGAACTCCACCAGGTGCTGAGTAAGGTTTCGGTCCTGTGTTTCTAGATTCCTGAGGGAACCTTCCTGCCATGAGCTCCAAGATGCTACATTGAGAGCCGGACTGTGGAATGGGACCACATGGTGAACAGGAAGAGAATCCCAGGTCACTGGGGGTTCCTGAGGGGCATGTGCTAGACAGCACAGGTTCAGTGCCCCATTCGAGATATGCATTCTCAACTCCACAGAAGGTGCACTCATGAGTCTCCAGGGGATTGTTTTCATGAACAGCGAATGCCTGGCATGACAGTAAGTGAGCTGGGCAGTGCAACCATAGAGGGCAGTGTGCTCTCTCTCCAGACCTCATGCTGGTCAGAACAGGGTGGCCCTTCGTAGCCCCAGCAATTCTGCTTTGCTTTACATAATTGTGTATATTTTTATTCAAGGTTTATATCTGATGATCTTCGCAATGTCAAGCACTTTTCTGGATTTTAATGGAAAATAAAAGAAACAAAAGACCTACAGGTTTGAGCTGTAGCTCAGAGACAGTATTTCACTAGCACATGCCAGACCATGGGTTCAGATCCCAGCACCAGACAACAGAAAAATTATTTAATATAATGGAAATGACTATCGTGTAACTTGTTGCCTAAGCAGTCCTCACTCTAAAGGCAGACCCTACCTTGAAGGCACTCTGCATTTTTTGGAAGTCCCCATCTTGAACACAGTCTCCATCCATCCTTAGGGCAGCCCCTATCTTGAAGACAACCTCCATCTTTTAGGGCAGTCCCCACATTGAACACTGTCTCCATGCTTAGGATAGCCCCTATCTTGAACACTGTCTCCATCCATAGGGCAATCCCCACCTTGGAGACATTCTCCATCCTTAGGGAAGTTTCCACTTTGAGGACACTAGCCTTAGGGCAGCCATGTGCCTGCTGTATGAACTTTTCCTGGAGAGACACAAATAGCTGTATAGACAGAATGCCAATGACAGACCAAAGGAACCATTGGGTCCAATGAGCTCATTGATTACAGGAGCATGGATGACCCCAAAGCAGCTCCATTACCCTAACTGAAAGTCTCAATCTAGCATGGATGACAACTTCCCCTTCAGTTAACCTTCCACTGTGTGTGTGTGTGTGTACACGTGTACTCTACCACCTCCAGAGACCCTTTATCAGCTCTAGCAATAGAAGTCTTCAGAGTCCTGAGGCAGCCCTCTTCTCTAGTTGTTAGAAAGTCCTTTCATTTGCTGTCTGTCTCCATTGTCTAGTTTCCCTGCCATATTTGACAAGGAAGAACTAGGTTATCGGTCACCTCCCACATCAAAGACCTGATAATCCGTAAGCGCCTTGTAGCCCTTAGAAGGTTCATGCCGAATTCCTAAGCCAGTTCTCAGTGTTCCTTCTTAAAATATGGTAACTGAACATGACCAACACCAAGGACTCAGGAAATATTGCTTTTTTTGCTCTGACTAAACTAACAGAGTCAACTTTGTAATTTAGTTAGAAATGAGTTGTCTTCCAGGCCAAGGCCATTTATTCTGTTCACATTGTGTGTGTGTGTGTGTGTGTGTGTGTGTGTGTGTGTGATATGTGTGTATGTATGTATCTGTTTGTGTAATATGTGTATATGTGTGTGTAATATGTGTGTATCTGTGTAATATGTGTATATGTGGGTGTATCTCTGTGTGTGATGTTTGTATGTATTTGTTTATGTAATATGTGTGGATGTGTGTGTATTTGTGTGTGTGATATGTGTGTATCTGTTTGTGTAATATGTGTATATGTGGGTGTATTTGTGTGTGTGATATGTGTGTATGTGTATATCTGTGTAATATGCGTATATGTGTGTGTGATATGTGTGTATCTCTGTGTGTGTGTGTGTGTGTGTGTGTGTACGTGTGCTTGAGCATCTCTGCTACAGCACAGTTGTAGGTCAGAATACAACTTCCAGTCAGTTCTTTCCTATCTGTGGGCTCCAGTGTCAGACTCAGACTGTCAGTCTTGTCATAAGCTCCTTCACCTGCTCCGCCGTCATGCTGATCCAGGGCCAGGGACTTTCGTGTGTTTTCTTCTACTCTATTCCCAGGCCCTACTGTCGCTCTGGACAGACACTGGAAAATTCTTATCTAAGATAAAGTGTGTTTCCTCAGTTCTGTCAGTCAATGCTTCTTTGCAAAAGAAGTTTCAAAAATGTCCAGGTAAACTGAACTCACTTAATGAGAAAACCATCAACCAAACCCAAGTTGAGACTCAATCTACAAAGCTATTGGTATGCTCTCATGGAAGTGTGGCGATGGGCGGAGCTGAGAGCCAGTGCTGACGGAGGAAAACAGAAGGCTATGCAAAGTTAAGGGTATTTGGAACCCAAACGAAGAAAAAAAAAGTCTTACTTAGAAAGGCCATTAAAGAGGCACAATCAACTACCAGTGTCAGGGAATGTAAACGGTCCCTGTCCCAGGCTGGGAAATTGCACTGGAATATGTAAAGGGACTTCCCTTCTCTTCGAAGATGCAGGTCAATAATTGGGAGGCTAGGAGTCATGATGTCTGCAACCCACTCTCAAATCATTTTGTCCCAAACCCTAGAACACAAATATTCATAAAATAGTCATGGAATAAAATTCATAAAAGAATAACTCACAAAGGCATATTTATAGAAGACAAATGCAGGAAATACCAGCCATCAGTAAGTCTAGACACATGCACTTATGTTCATCATATTATTCTTGAAATATTTCTGTAACGCTTGAAAGTTTTTAAAATTAAAAAAGTAAAAGAGAGAGCATGCTAAGTTGAGCATATGAAGTCAAAGCTACCATTATCTGGGTCACACAACTACACAGTGTTCACAGTGATGCAGCCTGCAGCCTCTGTTCCCAAAAGCACACCAATGATCTCCAAGATTAAAGAAAAATCTAATTAAAATGCCTTATTTTATTTACTAGAATATTCTGACTAAAATTTATATGTGCAAATAATAAAATAAAACTACTGGGAACTATTCTTTTTGTAATCAAGGTTCAACACCTTAACCCCAACTGAGAGTTACTCTGTAAATCTGCCAGCCAGATAATTTTATCTTTCCATCCGCCTGAGAATTGTATTTATAATAATAAAATGACAACTATATTTCTCTGGGTTGGAGAGATGCCTCAGCTATTACGAGTGCGTATTGCACTTGTAGACGGCTCCAGTTCAATACCCAGTACCCAAAGAGCTGCACACAACTGCCTGCATCTCATGCTCCAACGCCCTCCTCTGGCCTCTGCTGGTACTTGCACTCACAGGCACATACCCACAGAGACTTACATAGTTCTAGGACTATCTGGATTCTGCGGGTCAGTAGCATGTGCAAAGTTTGTCCTTTGCAGCCAAAATACAGAGTGGCCTAGGAATAATGATCCCGGGATATTCTCAGTGCTAGCGTACCTTTAGACTGTGCGATGTAAATCAGCCGGCTGAAGATCTTGCGCATGCGTGGCTTCAGGGCGAAGTTTTTGGCACCACCAGTCACTGAAATGACCAGGTTGGGTGTTTTGAGGTGCCAGTGCTGGGTCAGCAGTTCGTACAGGGTTTCCGAGTCTGTGTCGCAGGACAAGCGGATATACTGTGGGGGCAGGATAAAAGCGCCAGGTTTGTGTACTCTGCCCCTGGGGTGTTGGGTGGGTGACTGCACCTGGGGCACGGGATAGGGTGTCCTAGGCAGGGCTGCTGCCAGGGCCTCACCGGAAAGTGGAAGGAAGACATGGGGGAAGAGTGACCCCGAATGGTTCCACAAGCCGGATGGAGACCCTGAATCTTTACCTGGCCCTTGAGGTATTGGAAGCTGGGTAGACAAGAGATGATGAAGGGTCCTCAAGCTGCCATCTTGGCACACCTGGATGAGCCAAGGAGGAGATGGGCAGCCTGTGGGAAGACTCACTGACCCATCATGAGGCAGAGCCCCAGATAGTGGGTGGAGCTGCGTGTGCTCAGGGACGATCAAGACAGAGATGCGGACTCATGGGGTCAAGGTCCAGACATCCAGCCTGTGGACTGACAGGCTATCATTGAAACAGAATATGGGAACCCTTGGGGAAGAGCAGTTTCTAATGGAAAGACCCTTGCAAAACTCATGGATATATAGAAATGTCGCCTTCGTTGGAGCTACAGTATATGCTTAGGGATGCTGCCCAAAGCTAAAGGGACTACTCACAAAAGTATTCTCCCTTCCTCTAACAGGCTCAGGGATGTCACAGGGACCCATGACATGGGTCAGCCACAGCTCCAGCCATGATGCCGCCCTTAGCTACTGAGTTTTCGGACCGAGTACAGTCTAGACATTGTCAACTTGACTTTTCCTGCCGTGTTTGTTGACAATCACCCATCCCCCACCTCCATGCTACTGAATAACTAAGGTAGCTAAGGCAGCCCAAGCTCTTAGTCCATATACTAAAGCAGAACATGGGGGCTTACCTTGCCTTTCTTCCCCAGAGTCTCAAACTGAATGTCACCAAAGGCGTCCGTCGGAAACTCCTTGGTATGTTTCTTGTAGTTCCATTTCTCATTTTCGTTGATCTGGGTGCCGTCGATGTGCTGGTTCTGGGCATAGCCACACTTGCAAATGCTCTCCCTGGGGAAGGAACGGATTTTTGTCTGCTTAAATGACTTGTCACATCTTAGCATAAACTACGCGCTATAAAATTCAACCAGCACAACAAGAAATTCTATCCTTGTCTCTTATTCCCAGACTATTTCCCTCATCTTGGCTGATTGTCTAGAAAAGAGTTTCGTGGTTTGTTCCCATTGCTAATTATCTGTCTGTCAATGAGCTTGCCCTGTGCTGGGAGCAGAGAGGCAGAGGACTCCTGTCCTCCATTAACTGTGAGAAGCCATGAAACTGGTAAGAGGTGGAACTCAGGTATCTGGGAACCAGAACTCAGCTTCTCACATGAGTCTGAGCTAACTCACAGCGACCCAGGAACATGCAGACATTAATGCTTCAGTGCCAACCCCACCGGATGCCCAGCAAGTCCGCTCTTCTGAGGAGAGGTAAGTTCTTCCCATGAGCTATACTCATGTCTGGCAAGGGTCCAAAGTTCTCCAGAGCTTAGAAACCACCATTCTCTACCAGATATTAACTGCTTAGATGACTTTGGGCCAGTAACAGCTCAATCTAGACAAGGAAAACTGCAGTTGTGAGCATTAGGTCTTCCCACTGAAAGTACACAGAACTCAATACTAACTGTCCACTAGGGGGCACACATGCACGATGGGAAGCTGAAAGAGGTTTAAAGATACATGGTAAATGTTTGACCAGTACAACAGTCCAAAAGGACAGAGCAAGGGAACAATGGAGCCAGACAATGTTATCCAACATCATCACGGATAGCCAAAAGCGCAATGTCCTATTTTATATCCTTGGCCCAAGGCTAAGAGACCAATATCCACTGTTATCAGTGTCTCCATCCTCACAATAAAGTATATGGCCCAAGATGTGGACTTATTCCAGGGCATGGGGACAGTGTAGAAGGTGCACCCACTTCTAGCATCTTTGTACCCTACATACTCAGTCAACTGCAGCAAAATTTCCCACAACAGTCAGAGCCAGATAAAGATATGTCAATTGAGAAGATCTT